GGAATGGGATGGTGGAGGACCACTACTGATCCCTGAGAGCACTGATGGGCCTTAATGACCCTGATCAGCCTCACCCAGGGCCCCCACCCAGCCCCTCATCCCAGGAGCCCCACTGAAGCTCAGCCCTGTGCCTTCAGCCTCCTCCTGAGCTGGGCTGCAGAGCCTTTGCCTCCAGCCCTGCCTCTGGCTGTGGCTCCCGGATGGACCATGGATTTCTGGTGGATGTGCTTTATCTCCTGGCACCTCTGTGCCTTGTCCCATCTCTGTCTCTTGGATGGAGATAATGGGACAGTGCATCTTCTCTTGCTGAGCTCTGGTTTGCTGCTCTGGTCCGAGTTTAGGATTGCTGGGGCGTCTGCACTAAAGCCCAAGGTCAGCCTGGCTCTTCTCTGGGTGTGATTTCTGGACTCTCAGAGCAGAGATTTCCTGACCCAACCCCAAGCACCTCAGTAGGTTTCTGAAGGGTCGTTCTGCAGCTCCAGGTTGTGTCTCTCACAGCTTTCCATAGGTGTCCCCCCTGGCACTGGCTGCTCTGCTCCCCAGCCTTGGGAACACTTCTCCCAGAACACACTTGGCACCCTGATGGCCGTGGGGGAGCTTTGCTTTGGGATGAGCTTCACCTTGGAATGCCATGTCCTATGCTCTGGCTTCACTGGCCACTGCTTGTCCTTGCTGAGGTTGGCCCTGGCACAAGTTTCCCTGGCACTGGACTGCCTTGGGAAAAATCCTGTGCTGCTTTTAGGAGCCAGTTGAATTTGGCAGTGCTGCTGAACTCCAGAAATCTCCTTTCCAGTCTGGAAACAGCCATTCTGCAGGCTTTTGTTCTGAGCTGGGGTGGCAAAGGTGTCAGTTGGGTGTGCTGAGTGTGCTCTATGGGCGGTTGGATGGACAAGGGGGAGCCCAAGGCAAACCCAGCTGGGGTGTGACCCCCTGCCCTGGGGGTCTGGGGCAGTGTCACCTCCAGGGTGGAGGCAGAAGTGTCCTGGTGGTTCAGCAGTGGCAGAGGGAGTGTTTGGGAGCAGAGCTGCTCACTGGTGGCCACTGGAAGGAGATGGGGAGGCCTGGCTGTGGAGCAAGGCACCTGAGACCTCGCAAAGCTGAAAACTCAGGAGAAAGTGTGATTTTTTTGTAAAGGAAACACAGAGTTACGGTACCAGATGGACAGTCTGTCCTTCCCCTGACTGGCTGCCACAGGGACTGCACTCCCAGCACCCTCAGCTTCCCCCTGCCTGGGATTAATCTGCTCCCAGGAAGGCTGTGACCCCACTCTCTCACGGCTGTGACTCAGACCCTGCACTGAGAATCACTTCCCAGGTAATCCCTGTCCTTGAGGAGCAGCGTGTCTGCTCCCAGGCAAGGAGAGAAAATAAACCTGCTTTGAAATGCAAAGCAAATCCGTGAGGTTCTTGTAAGTAACCAGAAATTCAGCTGTGTCAGGGTGGAGAGCTGGCCCTGGGTTAGTCCTGGGGAGAAGCTGCAAGGAAAAGCTTTGGTGCTGAGACTGTTTAAGCACTAAATCCAGTGTCAGACAACCTCATTGTGCAGCAGCTTCTGCCCCAAAATGAGAGTCTGGGGCAAAGAGCTGCAGCAACTGGAATCATATTATAGTTTGAGTTGGAGTGTCCTGTGTAGAGCCAGGAGTAGGACTGGATCCTGGTGGGTCCCTTCCAGCTCAGCATATTCTGTGGTTCTACGATAAATTTATAAGTAAAGATTAGATTTAATATAAAATTATTGAAATAGCATCTGAAATACAAATATATAAGTCCATATAAGCCTGCACTGACACTAAATTCTTACCTAAACAAATATATTTGTTCACCCTTTATACTACTGAGCATATAAAAAGCCCAAACCTTCAACAAAATGCTTGTTTTCTTTGGTTTCTTTTGGAAATAACTGAGTCCCTACTCCACTAAAACACTCCACACCAGTTTAGTTGCCACACTGCCAACCTGAACTATCAGTGTATTGGAAAACTTTGAAGGGAAAAGAAGCAAGAAAACAATTAAGGCAGCACTGTAAGCTTGCAGAAAAATATGATTTTATCTTCATATTTGGAGCTAAGAAGCCCTCTCATATCACACCACCATATCTCCAAACCCCTACTGACAATGCCTGGCATTAGTGATTTATAACCTGTGGTGTTACAGTGTGCATAAATAGGAATGGATTATTAAGTTTTTGAAGCAGTTGCTGGGCCATTCCAGAGGGAACATCTCATCCCACCCCCTGCCACGGGCAGGGACACCTTCCACTATCCCAGATTGCTCCAACCTGGCCTTGGACACATCCAGGGATGGGGCAGCCACAGCTTCTCTGGGCAACCTGTGCCAGTGTTTTAGCAGCCTCACTGCAAAAAACTTCTTCCTTATCTATAATCTAAATCGACCTCCTAAACTAAAGTTTCAAACCATCCCCCTTGTCCTTGTTCCCTGCCACCAGAGCTTCCACAGGGCACGGGAAGGTTTGGCCTTTCCCAGGGAGAACTCCCCTGTAAGTGTGTTGTTCCTAGTGCTGAGTCCCAGCTGCTCTTCCCTGACAGGAGCCACTGAACTCACACTTATTTTCCTGCCTTTGTGCACCAGCAAAGCTGATCCCTGGTTGTGGCTGCAGCCCCTGGAGAAGGAGCTTGCAGGTCCTGGCAGCAGCTGGGAAACCACCTCCCAGAAATGCTTGGGACTGAGAAGGGACAACCATTCCTGGTATTTTGTCCCCTCTGTCATCTTGGCTTGGTCTCACCCGTTCCCCACACTGTGCTGCACATCCCTTGCAATGCTCACAAACTGGGGGGTCCCTGGGGGGGCTCAGCCCTGCAGCCTCTCTGCCCTGGTACCAATTTTGCCGTGGTTTTGCTGCCTAAACCTGTTGCACATTTGTGTTGCCGAGCTGAGGGTGGCCTGGAAACATGTCCGTGCTGTGTCCATGTGGGGAGCATGTCCAGGATTTCACCTGGGATTGACAGGAAGCTGAACATGAGCCAGGGGTGCTCAGATGGGTGAGAAGGTCAGTGGATCCTGGCCTGGCTCAGGAACAATGTGGCAGCAGGAGCAGGGAGGGGATTCTGCCCCTGTGCTGGGCACTGGGGAGGCCACCCCTGGAGTGCTGTGCCCAGTTGTGGCCCCTCAGCTCAGGAAGGACATGGAGGGGCTGGAGCAGGTCCAGAGAAGGGCAACGAGGCTGGGGAAGGGTGTGGAGCACAAGTGCTGTGAGGAGAGGCTGAGGGAGCTGGGGGGGCTCAGCCTGGACAGGAGGAGGCTCAGGGGAGACCTTCTCACTCTCTGCAACTCCCTGACAGGAGGGGGGAGCCAGGGGGGGGTCGGGCTCTGCTGCCAGGAACCAGCAGCAGGACAAGAGGGCACAGCCTTGAGCTGCCCCAGGGCAGGTTTAGGTGGGACATTGGGCAGAAGTTGTTTACAGAGAGAGGGATCAGCCCTTGGAATGGGCTGCCCAGGGAGGGGGTGGAGTGCCCGTCCCTGGAGGTGTTTGAGCAGAGCCTGGATGTGGCATCAGTGCCATGGTCTGGGTGACAAGGTGGGGTTGGGTCACAGGTTGGACTCGATGATCTCAGAGGTCTTTTCCAACCCATCTGATTCTATGATTTCCCAGCTCCCCACAAACAGCAGCATCTCCTGTAGGACCCTGTTCCTTCCCCTCCTTCCCAGCAGAAGGGCTCTTTCCCTCGCAGAGTCTTCCCCGGAGGTGATGTCAGGGCTGATACATTTGTGTCTGAAGTGGATCAAAGCAGTTTCTGCTCCATTGACTGGTTATTTTCCCTCTCCGGGTGTGGATGGCTCCTGTCAGGGTGCAGCACGCCCGAGGCTGTTTGTCTGCCCTCAGATAAATCTCTCACCTCAGACACAGCGGGAATTAGAGTGAATGCAGGGGCTGGACGCCTCCCAAGCTGCAGCAGATGCTGGTGCAGATGGTGCTGGCAGAATTCCCACTGACAAATCATGAAGTGGGATTGTCCAGACTCTCCCAGTAAAGGGGCTGTGGGTCTGGAGTGATCCTACAAGGCTGGGCCAGGGGGTGCTGCCCTGAGTCTGTTCCTTGTCCCCACCCCTTGCAGGTGACAGGGTTGTTGCCACGCTGGAGGGACCTGGTTGTGGATGTCTGGGAGGTGAAACACCTGGTTGTGGATGTCTGGGAGGTAAAACACCATGTCTGGGTAGAGCCAGAGGTCTGCGAGTCTGTCTGCTAATGGAGAGGAACAAGAAACCTCAGGGTTTTAAACAAATTTTTCCTCAGGTATTTGTGTAGTTGAAAGATTCTGTAGTTGAAGGATGAACTAGGAAAGGGAAAGTCTGTGTTCACTGTGGGAGTTAAAAGCTCCTCCTGAGGCTGAAGGGATGGTGCTGCCAAACAGCCCAGACTGGAGCTCCCACCCTGTTCAAACCATCCTGCTGTTCCCAGCACAGTTCTGAAGGTGGGCCCTTCCCCTTCTGGGAAAGGGATGGATCCTGCTGGAGCTCCTGACCTTCTGATAGTGATGAACCCCTTTTGGGCAGAGAGGAGTGTCCCTGTGCTCTGGTCAGGACAGGGGAGGGACACAGTAACTTCATCCCTCTCCTTGGTCCAATTCTTTATTGAAACTGGGCAAACACCCACGAGGAAGTTTGGGAAAAGACTGAGCAGGACTTGTGGTTTAGGACATTTGTGTCCCAGGCTCTGCTTTCCAGCCCTGAGCATCCCAACTGTGTGGTTGCAAAGGTCCCACCACTGCTGGGGAAGGAACAGCCCTTCATGTCTTTGGGGCACTGGCCTTGAAACACATGTCCTGCTTCAAAATTCTCTCCTGGCTGCTTCTGAAGTTCTCTTTTTGGTCTGGGTTTACTGAATTTGTGAATTACTTTAATCTTTCCAAATTGTATACTCTTCTTCCTGGGAGTTTTGTGTGTTGTTTTGACTTACCTGTTTTTCTGTTGAAGAATGAGCAGAGAAGAGTCCTGTGTTGGAGATTTCTCAGCCACTGAGCATCTCTTTCTTCTCCCCCTAAGCAGATGAAGTGAACTTGCTGGACAAAATCACTCTCTATGCACAGGACCTCAGCAATATTTCCTTTGCCTATGATGAAGCCAACTGCAGAATCCTGGAGGTGGGGCAGTATGCCACCCTCAACATCCCCACCAGGGAGGCCTTTGGGGACAGGTAGGTGCCTTCAGGGGGTGGGGCTGGGCTGGTGGTGCCCAAAAATCATCCAGTATGTGCTTGTTGGCTCAAGGAGTTACTTTCAGACCCCATTCCGTAATGACAAGGAGATAACACATCCACTCTGTGATCTCAGGAACACTTTGGATCAGGCTGCTCCATCCCTGGAAGTGTCCAAGGCCATGTTGGATGGAGCTCTGAGCAACCTGGTCTAATGGAAGGTGTCCCTGCCTGTGGCAGGGGGTGGAATGAGATGGTCCTTAAGGTCCCTTCCCACCCAAACCATTCCATGATTCTTTGATCTTTCTGGGTGGGGTGCACAGCTCATGAGCACTTCCAGGGATGTGTTTCCTTGGTGTTCCCATCAGGGAGGCCTCTCTGCTCCAGTGGAAAGGACAAGAAAGGCAGCACAGCCATATCCATCAGCATTGCTTGATGCCAAGGTCTGTGGGGGCACAGACCTTGTGGGATCTTTGCCATGCTTGGTACAGGGCTGCTGAGGACAAGCATGTGGGACATGAAGAGAGAAGGCATAAAAAGCTGCTTGTAGCAGGGTTCCCATCCATCCCCACAGTGGGAAAGGCAGGATTCCCATGGAAAACCATGCCCAGCCACATAAGTGTGTGCTGAGACTGCTCCTGAGAGGGGTGTGCTGAGGTTCTGTGGTTGAATGGGTGTTTTATATATATAATATATATGAGTTATATGGTTATATAAGGTTATGAGGTTATATGGGCAATGCTAATTTTGGCCTGGCTGCTTCTTTTTGACTACCTGACTTTACAACTGCAATGATGTTTTTTTGCTCTTGTTTGTTTTTATCTTTCATTCTCCCTGGGGTTCATTTGTGCTGTGACTCCTTTGTTGTGCCCTGAGGGGTCAGCCCCTGGTGGCACAGCAGATGCCACGTGTGCCCTGTTCCTGCCAGGTTTGCAGATGAGCTGAGCGTGCTGATGAAGCTCAGGTACTCCCTGAAGGAGGACACCAGCCTGGTGACCATCCTCAGCCACAGGAGCCACGTGCTCTTCCAGATCAGGATCAACCCCTACGCCCTGGTCTTTGTCACCACGAGGAGGAGACACTACGAGTAAGTTCCAGCTCGGGGGGTTGTTTTTCTGCCTTTTCGTGCTTCCTTTTCCCCTCCCATGGCCAGAGTGGAGGTTTCCTATTCTGGTGGGCTTTGAGCAGTGCCCATCATGTCCCATGGCCCCCGAAGGTCCCTCAGACCTGTTGCTGTGACTGTGCAGGTTGTCGCTGCCAAACTCCACTCTGACAAAAAGAGGCAGATCTGGAATGCAGAGCAAAGAACAAAAAGGTTGAATTACCTGGGGATGAATCAAACAGGGAAAGACAGAGATACCAAAAATTTCTCAGACACCTCAAGTGGTTGTGGAATCCCCAAATCCATTGGGAAACAGCAATCCTGTGCTGGAAGACAAGCGATGGTGCTACTTGTGACAATTCTAGTGCTGTCCTTTGTGTCTGCACTGAGGGACCCTCGGAGCTGATGAGGGTGAAGCCTTATCCTGCATGAGCTGTGGGACCAAAGTTTCGTGCTGTGTCTCTTCCTTTCCCCCTGGAACACACAGGTTCCCAGTTTCCTTCCTTGGTGATGGGCACTGGCACCAGGTTGCCCTCAGCATCTCCCTGGAGAGGCTGGAGTTGCACGTGGACTGTCGGCTGGTGGACAGAGTGAGCTGGGCCAACTATTTCGGGATGGGAGTGAACACTGAGGGGCTCATCATCGTTGGAGGCCTCATCGAGTCCTTTGAGATCCCCTTTAAGGTGAGTGAGGGCAGGGCTGGGAGGGCATGGTCTGCTCCAGCTGCAGGAAGGGAGGCCTCCATCTCCCTCCGAAGGGATCCTTTGCCTTCTCTTCCTAAAACACACCCTGTGTGTTCATGCTTGGGCAGGGTGAGCTTGGAATTGTGCCGGGGGCTTGTTTTTGGCTCAGGGCAGCACAAGTGCCAGCAGGCAGGTCAGCAGTGGGGACCCCTGGGTTTGACTTCCATCCTCTCCTGTTGACCATGACTTGTACCACGTACAGGTGTTGCTGTGTGTGCAGAACATCTGGTTTGGGAGCGTGGCCCATGGCTTCACACTGACACAGGGCAGGGTTAGATGGGATATTGGGAATAAATCCTTCCCTGGGAGGGTGGGGAGGCCCTGGCACAGGTTGCCCATACCTGGAAGTGTCCAAGGCCAGGTTGGACAGGGCTTGGAGCAACCTGGTCTGGTGGAAGGTGTCCCTGCCCATGGCATCTTTGCCTCCAGCCCTTGAAGATGGAAAGGGAATGTTGATTGCCCAAACCAACCCCTGGCTATGAGGAGCTGGAGACAACCTGCTCCCACAGCCCCTTCCAGACCTTTCTCTGTCCTCTGGATGAAGAAGCAGGAGGATAAACGATGGTTTGTGTGTCCCTTCCTCCCCAGGGAGCTCTCCAGCAGCTGACCTTCGTGATGGGAGACCCCTCAGCCGCCGCCGAGCACTGTCACAGCTACAACTCCACCTGCACGGGCTCCTTCAGCCTCAGCCACCTCACCTCCTCCTGGGAGCCCTCCACAGCCTGGCCAGAGGTGTGGCAGAGGGCAGCTGACAAATTTTGGGAGCGCTGGGCCAGGCTTCTCTTTGGTTTAACCCCTTTCCAAGTGATAGCACAGCCTGGCAGAGCTCGGCTCTCCGTGCCAGGAGGTGATGGTGGGTGGTTCCTTCCCCACCCAAACCCTCCCTGCGAGTCACAGATGGGTTTGGTGTGAAGGAGGATGAGTTAAGGGGAGGGTTTCTGAGCCAAGGAAAACCTGGGTGGGTGGGACTGTGTGTGTTCGGTGTGGAACACAGGGAAGCTCTGAGGAGCTGTTGAGTAATGCTGCAGCTGGAGCTGGGCTTTTGGGAGGGGGTGACAGCTGTCCTCGGGAATTGTACACCACTTTGGAATTCTTGCTCACTCCCAGCAGGATTGTACACCCTTTGGTGCATCATCGTGCCACAAGTTGTCCCTCTGTTCTTGCCAGCATTGCTGGAAAGTGGAAGTTCAGGGGATTTTGTTTTTATTACAGTGTTAAGTAAATCATCAAGAAATTTATCTGTTCCAGAAAGTCCAAATCACTCAATAAATCCCCAAAAAGACATGAAACACCCAGGCTTTCCTCAGGAGCTGCAGTTGGCCCAGGGAAGTGCCTCATGTCTTAGGCCAGGGATATTAGAAAGGAGCCTGGAAAAGGCTGGAGAGAGGCAAGTGTTGAACGCCAGGGTTTGGCACAAACCTCCCACTTCTGGTGGCCTGGTGAGGAGCTGGGACAGCTGCCAGGAAAGGGCAGTGTCAGGGGGGGTAACTGGGTGTGGGATGGGCCATCTGCCCTCTCTGGGGCCTGCCCAAGGTTTCCTTTGGGGTCCTGGTGCCAGCACATCCTGGCAGCAAAGAGGGAGTGATGACACCCACCCAAGTGACACCCACCCAGGTGACACCCACCCAGTGACACCCACTCAGGAAAGCCCTTTGGTGGCTGCTCCACTCCCACCATGGGCTGCAGCAGTTTGTGTGTTTATTATTTTAAGAGGAGGATTTTAGGGAAAGCCCTGATCAGGAGGGATTAAGTAGGAGCAGCTTTGCCAGGGAGTAAATGCGGAGGAGGCTGAGTGTGTGACACAGGGCAGGTCACACTGGCTCTCTGCTGCTCTGAGGGACAGTGGGGTAACCCCTGGCCATCCCAAAATGCATTTCTCACACTGACAGCCTTTGGAGGGCGTGGTTGTGGCTCTGGGATAAGTTGGACTCACTCCCTAGAGCCGAGAGATAAGGACAGATCTCTCATTTAAATGCTCCAAGATGTGTCCTCTGAGCCTGGGAGGTGATGGGCTCATTTTAACATGTGTATTATCCTGAGGTCTGGAGGCCTGGAGCTTTGAATGGCTCTGGTGTCTCACCCAGCAAGGAGAAAGTTTTACTTGAAGCATCAGTAAGTTGACTGCAGGTGGGAAAATTCTGCCCCACATCCCACGAGTTCCCACACCTTGCTGGCCCTTCCCAAGGACTGATGAGCTTCCAAATGAAAAAAAAAAACCTGCAAAAACCACCCAAACACTTGAGGGGTTTAATCCAAAGCTATTCCCTCCTGTTCCTCTGAAGGATTGGCTCCCAGTGGGCATTCCCTGGATTCTTCCTGTGCCCTCAGAGGCAGTTCTTCCATCCTGGAGCCAACAATAAGCACATGGTTAAGCCAGTGCTGGTCCTTGGGCAGTGATATTTTCCCTCTTTCTCTCTCCATCTCTCCAGGTGCCAAAGGAAACCAATGAAATCCAGGATTCCTCTGCTCAGGTGAGACTCTCCTGCATCTCCCCTCTCCTGTCCCTCTGCTGTCCCACCCCCAGAGTATCTCCTGGGGACATGAGTTTCTCTCATGAGCAACAAGGTAAACCCCAAAATTCCCACAACAAGGCTACTAATTATTATTTTCTTGGCTATTGGTCGTTATTTTCTTTACTGCAATATTTCTCTCTAATGATTTGGATGTAACTTGGCTTGTCTGGGAGCTGGTGGAGGCCAAGGTGAGTGTTCAGGTGACCTTCCTGAGCTCCAGTGAGCCCCAGAGGGATGGTGATGGAGGTGGAGATGAGATGGATCGGGTCACCACCTGCACAGAGGTGTTTGTGAGCCCTTGTGCAGCTGGATTAGCTTGGAGGGAAGGCAGTGAAGGTCAGCAGGGTGGCAGGAGAAGGCAGGAGGTTGGACATCCACAGCTTCTGCCCACGTGTGGGATGTGATGCGGGAGGTGGAAAGGGCTGGAGCTCTGCAGTGGGAGGAGGCAGCTGTGATTCTGGGGGTTTAGAAAGCATCCCCCTGCCAGGGCAGGGCTCCTTGGCTGCTCTGGTGCTCATGGCACTGGGGTTGGGGGTTGATTGTCCCATCTGCTCTCCCCCAGCTGGAGCTTGGGGCACATTCCAGCTCTCCCGTGTGCCGGGAGGATGAGGGAGTGAGCAGAGTGAGGCTGGCTGCAAGTCCTTGGTGCTCGTGCTTTGTTTGGGATTTCCAGCCAAGATTTGTTGTTCAAGTTCATGCAAACAGACATCCTGAGGGGGAAACCCGCCAGCAAATGGAAATTGAGATTTGTGTATGTGTGTGTTGTGTGACTGAGCAGCTGATTCCTTCACTCCCCTCACCCTCCCAGAGTCCTTCATTCCCCTCACCCTCACTATTAACTCTTTGGGGAGGGTTTCTCTTCTCACTCCTGGCTTTAACTGTCTGGTTACACCTCGATAACTCCTTTGTGCAAACCTCTTGTGTGGTGCAAAAGTGATTTTTAGAGCAGGTTCATCCCCTCTGCCCCAGGGTTCGATCTTGACACCTCTCGGGTGAATGTGCTGCAGGTTTGGGGTGATGGTGGTTGGGTTTGGCATGAACTGAGGTGGCAAAATCACTCAGAAAGGTGGGCTCTGCCTCCCTGCAATCAGTCCTGGTGGCTCCTGGTTGGGATTTGATCCCCATCATCCAATGCTCCTTTGCCAGCGGGCTCTCCCTGCGCCTGGTGAGATGTCACCAATTATGAGAAAAGTGGTGAAATTCGTGGGTCTACAGGGGAAACCTAATGATATTCTGGATTTGGGACAAGTTTATTTTTCGAGCTTTTAATGAGGACCAGAGATGCCTCGGAATCTTTGGCGTTTGTATTTATTAAATGGAAAAAAAGAAGTGCTACTAATGCATTACAGTTTGGAAATAATGGAGAGCAGAGCAGGGCTGGGCCACAGCTCTGCTTTGTAGTTGAGCTCTCCCTGCCTTTGTTCCTTTAGAAGTAAATTGGTAGATTGGTGAATTCCTTAATTGCTAATTAGAGCTAAATAATTACATAAGCTCAGGGTGATGGTGGAGGAAGATATAAGTGAGTGAAGGCAATAGTTTAGCAGCCTAAATGACACCTGGATTGCAGCCTGTTCCTGTTGGGAATTTTTTTCTGAGGGGTTAAATTGTCATTTCTGTGTAATCTTTGGGATATAGATGGTGTTGAGAGACTTTTCCTGCCTTTTGTCTTCTCTTTGACTGTCTGTGCTCGACGTGAGCAGGAGGGCTGAGCTGGTTGCTGAACTGAATGGCTTTTTCCAAAGCAATTTAATCTGGGATCCTAAAGCCATTCAGCAAACAGTCAAATAAAGCTTAAATCCCACTGATTTCCAGAGGGGAAAAAACTTCACAGGTTTAATTATCTGGGCAGTTCAAACTCCTTTGGAAATTTCTTCTTGGTTTAAAGTTGCCGTGAAGGCTCCGGGGAAACGCTTGGTTCGGTCACGGTGTGTCTGTTCTTTCATCTTCAGATTTGTTATTGAGCAGAATTAGTGTTGGAATCACTTGTTCAGTCTCATTCAGCCCCAAAACCGCTGGATAGTAACAGCTCCAGCCTTCCTTTGAAATCAGAGCAGCCTGAAGCTGATGCTCATCTTTCAAATACCTGTCCCAAAGGGCTCGTGCTTGGTCACCCCAACTAATAAAGACCAGCCCTCAGGTGGGAACTGTCAGTCCTCCACCCCTCTGTTTCCCTGGAACTCTGGGGCTGCTGGTTCCTTGGATAAGCTGGTCTAACACCAGATATCCCTGTGGGGGTGTGGGGAAGTGACTGACAGCTGGAGCCCAGCACTATCTCCCCTGCTCTCTTATCTGGAGATGGTTGTCCTTGTTCCTGAGAGCTCAGATATCTCAGCCACCTGCAGAGCTCTGAAACCAGTTTCTCAGGCAGGATAAGATCTGTGGATCATTTGTTGCCCCTCAAACCCACCGTGAGATCAATGTAATGAAAGGAGTGTGTTCCTATGCAGCACAGTGGTTTTTAATCCCCAAACCACGTGGAAGGAATGAAGTGCTGTTCCCTCCAGCCTCACCACGGGACACCCTCCGCTGGGAATTCCAGCTGCTCTTCAACCTTTTACCAGCTGAACTTCTGCCTGGGCTCAGCTTTTGTGCCCCTGTTGGCTTATAGGGGTTGTCCTGAGCCAGAAGTGTTGCAGGAAGGGCTTGGTTGGCTTGGCTTGGCCAGCATCATCTCTGCTCCTACTCGAGGAGCTTCCCAGACCATTGTGGTCCCACCAGCACCTCGTGTCCTGGTGCAGTCTGTGTCTGTGCTCAGGGCACCCCCATCCCCCATGTGCAAGCCCAGCAGGGCTCTTCTCTGCTCAGGGCCACTTAGAAATGGGGTTTGCTCTGCTTTTGCTCTGCAGAGGTGAGGCCTTTGTGCTGCCTTTGTGCTGGGCAGGAGCACAGGGAGCCCTTCGGAGGCTTTGCAGCCTGAATGTGGCCCCTGGGTGTGGAGCTTGCAGGGATGTTTAGGATTGTGGGTGCCTGGGTAGGACACCAGGGAACCCTGAACATCCCCCTGGGGAAATAGGGCATTGCTGAGGCATCTCACAGGGACCTCCAAAACACAGGGCAAAATATAGGGACCTCCAAATAAAGACCATCTCATTCCAACTCCCTGCCATGGGCAGGGACACCTTCCAGTATCTTTAGGTACCTTTCCAGTAGCTAAAGGGGCTCCAAGAGAGCTGGAGAGGGACTTTGGACAAAGGCATGAAGTGACAGGACAAGGAATAAGGGTTTTAAACTAGAAGAGCAGAGATTTAGATTGGATATTGGGAAGAAATTCTTCCCTGTGATGGTGCTACCTTCTACTAGCCCAGGTTGCTCCAGCCCCATCCAGCCTGGCCTTGGACACTTCCAGGAATCCAGGGGCAGCCACAGCTTCTCTGGGCAACCTGTGCCAGGGCCTCCCCACCCTCACAGGGGAGAATTCCTTCCTAATATCCAGTCTAAATCTCTCTTTTAGTTTTAAAACCATTCTTCCTCGTCCTTTTGCTTCATGCCTTTGTCCAAAGCCCCTCTCCATCTTCCTTGTAGCCCATTTAGGTACTGGGAATCATTTCTTTGGTTTATTTATTTTTTCAGTCTTACAATGGATTCACTTCCCAAATCCAGCACCCGGGTACCACACATGGAACTTGTAAGGAAACATTTCTGGCACTGAGGAAGTGGCTCCTGCCCTTGTGGCCTGAAGCAACAGGAGAAGGACCAAGTGACACCTCAGGGCAGCCAGGGCAGAGCAGGGGGAGGCTCTGCTGAGCACCAGAAGGGGTTTCTCCTCCCCACACTCCTGCTGCAGACCCACAGGTATAACTGCCTGCCCTGATCTGCTGCTGGACACAGGATTTCCTGGCAATTTTTCCTTCTTTCAATCAGTCCAGCCTTGATTTCCAATCTTCCCATGGTGGAGCCTCTTCCAGGAGCTCAATGCTACAACGAGCTGGAAGGAATAATTTATAATTGTCTTTCTCTGATCCTGAGCTTGTGGATCATATTGTACCTTTGGCTGTGGATGGAAGAGGCTCCTATTCACAAAAATGTGCTTCCTCAGAGAAGACACTGAGCTCTGAACTGGGTTTTACCCAGCCTGACCTGGCTGAAAACCAGGGCAGAATGTGACTCTGGTTGTCTGGGCTCCTGGAGACAGGGATGCTCCAAGCTGGGTTTTAACCCATTTGCTATTTAGTTGAGTTTTTGGGTTGTGGCATCAACTGAAAAGCCCTGCAGAAGTCCAGCATCACTGCCCCAACACTGTTCTCTTGGTCCATAAAACACTCTTGGTCTCCTCAGGCAAGAAGCCAAGTTAGTTACACAGCAACTCTTTCCAAACCCATGGCATTAATTACATTATCTCTGGTTTCTTTATTAATGAGCCCCATGTCAGTTGTTCTGTTATTTTGCTTGGGCTCAGCTTGAGGGAAGAGCTCTGTAATTATTCAAGGCCTCCTGTTTGCCTTTTTTTTCCCCCTCTTTTTTTTATTTTCCTCTTTCATATTGGCACAACATAAAGCCTTTTCCCAGTCCCCTGGAGCTTCCCCAGCTTCCTGAGCCAAACTGAAAACTCAGAGCTCGTGTTGGGGAGAGCCTGTGATTTGAATGCTTTTTGGATTGGATTGTGGGGACAGGATTGAGAAACTCCCCCCTCCTTGTCACTTCTGGAATGGAAAGTGGTTTGTTGTCATTTGGTTGTGTCATCTGGCTTTTCTGAACAGAAGGGGGGATTCTCCAGCCCTGTTGCTGCTGCTGGTTCAGTCCCTGCCACGTGGCAGAGGGTCCCAGAGGGGATGCACCAAGGCCTGGCTGGGGCAGAGGCTCCTCCTGCCTTTATTTTCCTTGCTTAACTTGATTTTCTGCAAATCATGGCATTGCTTATCACGTTCCAATCCCTTTTTAATCCTGTTTTATCATTCCCTAATGGCTGCTTTCAATTTGGGCTCATTCCCCACTTCCCAGCTGGAATTTCTGGGAGTTCA